CCAGGACCATTGTTACTGGGGTATTTGACACGCTAGAGGAGGTGCACTGCGTGTTGCACTTTGCGTGGTCAGGGCCTGTGACTCTTGATGTGTGGTGTAGGGATTACATTGTTAGTGGTCTCTTCTGGCCAAATAGACTCTATTTAGGCCTAGTCTGATCACCTGTGTCACACAGGCTGGAGTTTCACCACTTACCTCCATACTCCATCCAATCTTGTGTTTGCCATAGGCATTCTGGTCTGCATCCAAAGCCATCAAACCACAGGGAGTCCACCCACAGTGGTGTTAGTTGGGAAATGAATTATTTTTTGGGGGGAGAGGGTTCAGACTTGAGACATTGGCTGGGGTGATGGGAATCTTTCTGAAAGCACTGAGCACTGATCCCATGAAAATTAGACAAGTTAGACATCCAAAATTGTCACTTGCTTCTCAGAAACTTGGCTCTCTATCTTGTGGTTTCTACCAAGATGGAGAGGGGTGTGTAGTTGGTTAAAGCAGGAGGCCAGGACACCTGGGATCTCTCCCCAGCTTTGGGAGAGGAGTGAGGGCTAATGGGTTAGAGCTGGGAGCCAGACTCCTGGCTTCTCCTGGGAGGAGAGCAGAGTCTGTTGGTTGGAACTGGGGAGGGATGACTGTGGGTGTTTATCTTCACATCTTGTAAAAGCAGCAAGTTCATCCTCTAATGTGAACAAGTATTTGGGCCCAGAAAGCAATGTCTGTGGTACAGTAAGGGATCGGGGCTCCCATCATGCCATGTCCCCATCCTAAGAGAGAAACATCTGTTTGTTAAACTTGAGTAATCATTAGAGGGGGTTGTGGGACTGGATGAGAGACCTGAACACCAATAGCTTCTGTGTGCGTGAGAGAATATCTCCCAGGAGAGACTCTGTGCACTGCTGGCTTGGGTTGCTGAATCTGAAATTTCACTGGGGAAATTAGGTTGATACATCTTAGATGGTCTGATACGTCTCACCTGCCACTGTAGCGCAGCATGGTGCTGAAAGAGCTCAGTGTGGAGATTTGCTTTATTAGCATCTTAGCCAGATGTGAATCGGAAATTGTCATCTTGTTCAGATCCGATTCTCACAGGTGCCTCCAATCTGTAATTATTTCTGTGTGCTCCAATTGTGGCTGAAAACCCCAGCTGACCAAATCCCAGATGCAGTGGAACAGACAGACCTGCCCCTGCTGAGATCAGGGCCCCATCATGCCGGGCACTGCTCAGACATTCAGAGAGAGACAATCCCTGTGCCAACTGAGGTCAGGGCACAGTTGTGCCAGGTGCTGCCCAGACACACAGCCAGACAAAGTCCCAGTTCCAGGTTAAAGGAGGCAGAGGCATAGCTATGCCACTTAGGGATATAAGACATAAACCAGTTAACTAATTACCCAGTAAGCAGGCTGCTTATTGGCTTGCTTATTGGGTAACTGGTTAAATGGCCTGGCTGGCTGGACCCTGTCTGCAGCCACGTTGGGGGCAGAGGAGGGGCTGCTGCAGGGTTAACCAGTTAAATGTAGCATTTGATGATATCCCTCGCCACAGGCTCTACCGTAAAGTAAGTTGTCATGGGATAAGAGGGAAGGGCCTCTCATGGACTGATAACTGGTTAAAAGATAGGAAACAGGGTAGGAATAAATGATCAGTTTTCAGAATGGAGAGCAGTAACTAGTGGGGTCCCGCAGGAGTTTGTACTGGGACCAATTCTATTCAACATATTCATAAGTGATATGGAGAAAGGGGTAAACAGTGAGGTGGCAAAATTTGTAAACTGCTCAACGTAAAGTCCAAAGCAGACTATGAAGAGCTTCAAAAGGATCTCAAAAAGCTAGATGATTGGAAGTAATGCATATTAGAAAACATTCCCAACTATACATACAAAATGATGGGAACTACATTAGGTATTATCACTCGAGAGGTCTTGGAGTCGTGGATAGTTCTCTGAAAACATCCACTCAATGTGCAATAGCAGTGTAAAAAGCAAATAGAATGTTAGGGCCAATTAAAGGGATAGAGATAACAGAGATTATCTTATTGCCTCTGTATAAATCTGTGGTATACCCACATCTTGGATACTGCATGCAGGTGTGGATGCCTCATCTCAAAAAAATATGCTGGCATTGGAGAAAGTTCGGAAAATGGCAATAAGAATGATTAGGGGTTTGGAACGGCTGACGTATGAATAGAGATTAAGAAGACAGACTTTTCATATTAAAAAGAAAAGACTAAGGGGGGATAAGATAGAAATCTATAAACTCATGACTGGTATGGAGAAAGTGAATAAGGAAAAGTTAGAATAAGCAAGAATTGGGGGAAGGGGGTCACCAATGAAATTAATAGGCAGCAGGTTTAAAACAGAAGGAAGTATTTCTTCATGTAACACACAATCAACCTGTGGAACTCCCTGCCAGGGAATGTTGCGACAGGGATAATAAAATTAATTTATATTGGTAAATGTGTACTTGCTGAAATTTTTAGCAGGTACACGTTTACGCTTGGTGGGGAGCTGTCTTCCCCCCACTTCCCCCCCGATGCTGCCTCTGTATCGGAGGCACCAGTGTGGGGTGTGGTGTCAAGCAGTTCCATGGGAGCCAGTATGTGTGGGGCCAGCTTAAAAATTAGCTCCCCATGCAAAGCAGCTCCTGCCTGCCCCCCTGCAAGGGGGCAATCGGTTTCCTGCGAGCACCAATTTCTGTCTGCGTCCCCTTCCCCTGCTGCTGCCTCTGATACAGAGCCAGCAGCAGGTTGGGGGAGGCGGGCTGTTTGTAACTGTGAAGGTTAACCCATGAGTCTAGGCTCATCAATTATCCATTTACTGGTTCACACTGTGACATCCCTATTGTGAAGACGAGGACTTCAATAGGGTTCAAGAAGAGCTAGATAAATTCATGGACCATAGATCCATCAATGGCTCTTAGCTAGGCTGGGCAGGGATGGTGTTGCAGCCTCTGTTTGTCATGAGCGACATGGGATGGATCACCTGATGATTTCCTGTTCTGTTCATACTCCCTGGGGCACCTGGCATTGGCCACTGTTGGAGGACAGGATGCTGGGCTACAGTGACTTTTGGTCTGGCTCAGTCTGACCATTCTTATGTTTTAGGTGGGTCTGTGTGGTACCTAAAATAATGCAGATCCGCTGGTCTCTGTTGGAGTGGGGCCCCTTAGGTACCACATAGGCCTGGCTGTGATAGAATCCCCTGGCTCAAAACCCACACAGTCCTGCAGGTCTTGGGGTGATCAGATTGTACATGAGGCAGGAGTTTCCTGTTGGTTTCTAGCTCTGAAGGGTGGAATAAGGTGTAGTGGTTAGAATGGCGGCTGGGTGCCAGAATTCCTGGGTTCTCTTCCTGGCTCTGCCCAAGTGACTCGCTGTTTAGGGTTTGTTCGTTAGCTCTGGTGTGACTTTCTGCAGCAGTCCTGCCAGAGGATTGGCTGCTCTGCCTTTTGTGGTTTGCCAGTCTTGTCATGTGGCTCCCTTAACAGTCGGCCTGGGTGTTGTGCAACCCACTTTCTGGGACTGAACTGACTGCACTGCAGTTCTTTAGGCTCAGGCACAGCAGGGTCTCTGGGGATGGGGGCAGGCTGGCATGGAACCTGTCACAACCAGGCTTCAGAGAGCACTGTGGGCCGACCTAGTCCATGGAATTCCCTGCCACACACTGATTCATGTACTGAGTCAGGATTCCTGGGTTCTAGTCTCAGGTTTGGGGTCTAGTTGGTTAGAGCAGGGGGGTTGGGAGCCAGAACTCCTGGGTTCTCTCCCCCGCCTTTGGTGATAACGAGACAAGTCCCTTGCCTTTGTGCTAAGGACAGTGATATAGGTACCTTATGTTTTTGTGCCCTCCAGTGGGTGTGATGGAAATTGTTGTTGTGCTGTGTGTCATATGCCCAGTACTACTGACTGGAGAATTGTCTCCATCCTATGTGCTGGGGGCTCCAGGGTACAGGGGTCTGAACACAGTGCCTTTGTGTGTGTGTGTCCCCCCACCCCCCAACCCATCCCTGTGGAGTAACGCTCCCCCTCTCTTTTTCCTGCAGCTGTGCCCAATGTGAATCCGGCTTCTGACTCTGTTGTGGGGGGAGAAGGGCCAACAGCTCCATCAGCACCCCAGCCCACCCCCTGCTCTGTTAGCGACCTGGACAGACGGGCACACGCCAGTTCCTCACCCCTCTCCTTTCAGAGATCCCCCAGCAAACAGCTGCTGTCTTGGTGAGAAACTCCTGGGGACTAGGGAGACAGTACACACAAATGGCTGGGGAAAGAACACAAGAATTCTGTCTTCCAGCCCTCTTTCCCCCAGGCCCCACTGCCCTCCCAGAGCCAGAGAGAGAACCCAGGAGTCCTGGCTCCCAGCCCCATCTTGCGTGCGCGCACACACACACGCACATATACACCGGGCTTGAGCAACTAGACCCTAGATCTGGTTCCTGGGAGGATTTGGGGGATAATACTGGATGGTGCTGGGGTGGGTAGAATTATTTACCCCTTAGGTAATGGTACATGTCTGAAATGGATCCGTGTTTTGGGGAGGCCAGTGAACTTTTTCCAAGAGACCTCTACATCTTTTCCCCTCGAGCATTGCTCCACTCGAGGGGGCTGTCTCCTTCTCAATCCCCTGTGGATCAGCACTGGGAGGACCAATGGAGGGGCCGACAGAGGTGGGTGGGGGGATGTGAAATGGGGGGCCGAGGGGATAGTTCTGAATCCTAATTCTGCCCTCTTTGGGTTCTGTCTCCCTGCTGCAGGTTCACTGGTTGGTGCTGCTACTGGCCCAGCTTTCCATGGTGAGGAGTGTGGGGCTCTAGCGCACAGGTAAGAAAGGGGGTGTGGGAAGGGCAAGGAAGTGGGGAGGAGTTCAGAGACTGGGTCTCCCAGTCTTTCATCGCTGGGTTTTCTTCCTTGCCAGCCAGGTCATAGGAAACCACAAGCAAATCCAGCGCACACACAGAGGGAGATGGCTGCTGAGACACTCAATTTTGGACCAGAATGGTGAGCGGGGCTCTAGCGCACAGGTAAGAAAGGGGGTGTGGGAAGGGCAAGGAAGTGGGGAGGAGTTCAGAGACTGGGTCTCCCAGTCTTTCATCGCTGGGTTTTCTTCCTTGCCAGCCAGGTCATAGGAAACCACAAGCAAATCCAGCGCACACACAGAGGGAGATGGCTGCTGAGACACTCAATTTTGGACCAGAATGGTGAGCAGGGGCCAGGGCATGGGGAGGGTAGCGGGGGGGGCCGGCG